GAAGGCTAGGTGTAGATCTTTCCTACCAGAAGATCAGGGGTGTGGCAGAAAGACAGCAGTAAGGAGGAGCCAAGGAGTAGCAGTAGAAAGGCTGCAGAAAGAGTCAGGAGACCAGAGGAGGCAAAAGGGGGAGGCGGGGGGTGGGCAGAAGATGGAGGTGAAAGCAAACGACAGAACATGGCGACAGCCGCCATCTGGGCAAAATCAAAAAATTAATTCCTGCCAAACTGAAAATGCTTCATTTGTCTCGCGCTCTCATATCATCTTATGCAGATTGTGAGGGCCATAAAACACATATCAGGAAAAAAATAAAAACCATAATGTTCAGTTTAATAAGCTGAATATTGTAAAAACTGTCCCCGTGGTTTTATGCACTCCGCATAATTTAGCAAAATCTTATCATTTTGGGCATAATTTCTGATTATTTTCCTTTATTATTCTTTGTTAAAAACAGAATCGAATAATTTCACATTTTGGGTTCAGTTAGCATAATTTCAGAATTTTCCTTGCATAAAACGACGGGGACAGTCAGTCAGTCTAGGTATACTCGAAAAGGGAACAGAGCAGAAAACGTTGAGCCTATCACAACACCAGTGAACACAGCACATCATGTATTTTCATTGGAACCTCTTGGGCGGCCACTCTATTTCTTTAACAAAAAGACGACACATCGTACAGAGTGCGTTTGTCTCTCTCTTAATTAATCCTTTTTTTTGTGGTGCCCACTGCTAGATCTCAGAAGTAACAACAAGATGGTTCTCCATCCCACTGCTGCACAACTGAATATTACATATGCATAGTCGATGGCACAGGGAACCAGTTCCCACCCAAAAATAGTCTCGAGAAGTAAGTAATGTATAAGTCAAACGGACATGATAAGTTACACCAGGCAGTGAGCTGAAAGACAGAATTTTCTGGAGTCAAAAAAAGTCACACGAAAAAAGAAAGTTCATAAAACCCATTCACAGCATCTTTCTAGAATATATAAATATAATGTATATAGATCTATCTATCTATCTATCTGTCTATCTATCTATCTATCTGTCTATCTATCTATCTATCTATCTATCTATCTTCTATCTATCTGTCTATCTATCTATCTATCTATCTATCTATCTATCTATG